GGGAAAGAAGAGACACTGTGCTGCTGTTTTTTGCCGTCAAAACGCAAGATGCGAGAAAGGCGGGAGGGTGGACTGCAGGATACACAGGAGGAGGGGCGGGGAGAGGGGAGGGGGAGGGAGGGGTGGCAGTGCATAGACACATTCCTCGTTGTGCGAATCGAGGCAGGGAGGAGGTTGGTGTAGGTGTGAGAGGGTTATGTATGCGGGTATCGCGCACGGGGAATCGAAACATGAGGACGGGATTGAGTGGGTACATTGAGTGGATACGTAGCGCAAATCTTTTTACGGTTCTCCAGGGCACATAAGGAAGGAGGAGAGGAAGTGTTGAGTAGAAAGGAGGAGGAAGTGTACTCCTGGTTTTTGCTGCGGGAAGTTACTTTGCAAGGAGGATTTCAGGACAGAGTAAAGAAAGGGGCGAGTAGAGAAGTCGAGGCAAAAACCGCAGACAACAGTAAAAAGAAAAAAAAAGCATAGAATTACAAAATAATTGGCCAACGTACAGGCTGCCCGTACGAAGGTGTGTTTTTTGCATAGTTCACCGCAGTTTTTGTCGCTGCCGGTCCCGGCTTTTTCGGCAAGAAGCTAGCTAGACAAATTAAGACTGGCCGCCAGAACTTTCAGGAAACACCCGCTCAAGATTTCAGCATTCTAGCTTCCCTGGCTCCCTAGTTAGCAACTTACTTGAAAAAACTTTCAGCGGTTCATACATGGGTACCACGCATAGCCAATGTCCGGGTTTGAACTTGTTGGAAGTTACGTGAACAGGACCATCCTCCTAAAATTACAGTCTTCTAGCTTTCCAGGTTATCGAGTCAGCAACTTACCCGAGAAAAAATTTGGTAAGCCCGTGCGTGCGTGGGTACCACGCATACCCGATGGCTGGGTTTGGACTCATCAATACCTACTTGGGTGGGGAACACTCCCTTAAAATTCCAACCTTCTAGATTTCCAGGTACTTGGATTATCAACTCATCCGAAAAAATTTTGACGGACCCGTACGTGTGTACCACGCGTACCCGGCGACTGGTTTGAAGCTCACAAAGACTTACATGAACAGGGAACGTCCCCCTAAAATTTCAGCTTTCCTGATTCCCGAGTTAGTGACTTACCCGAAAAAGATTATGGCGGGCCCATACGTGGATACCACGCGTACCCAGAGTCTGGGTTTGAGCTCAGTGAGACTTACGTGGAAGAGGAGCATCAATTAAAATATTAGCTTTCTAGCTTTTCTTGATCGCGAGTTAGCGACGCTCGCAAAAAACTTTCACGCGCCCGTACGTGGGTGCCACGCGGGTAAGACCGCCCATTTTGGGGATGGGAGCCCGTACATGCATGTAGATTTAGTTCCCAAAGTTTCAGCCCTGTAGCTTTTGTAGGTTTCGAGATGAAAAATCGGTACAGAGATCAGCGCACACACAGAGACACACACAGACAATCTCCCCTCATTATGCGTTTTCCACGTTGCATAGCTGCAAAAAACGCATAAAAAGTAAGTTAAATCAAGCCTGATCACAGGAATAAAGGTAAAACCCAAGCTGGAACGCACCAGGCGAGCCGGTGCGGTCATGCGTTTTTGCTTCAAACTTGAAGTAATTAGGTTAACTGCATGAGCGGTTTGTTTCTTCACACCTACCTTGTGTGCTCAATACCATAAATCATCGTAAATTTCGCATGAAAGGAAATAATTTCTGTTTAGCGGTCGATTTTTGAAAATGACTCAACTCTTCAAACAGTAATTTTCCCGCCAAAAATTCAAGTACCCGAATAGGAGAACCGCGAGCAAATGGAGGCTGAATTTGAAACCTTTGAGTTGTACATGGGCTGGGAACACCCCTTGAAAATTTCAGCCTCCCAACATTCCTGGTTCTCAAGCTAGCCAATTTTGAGCCAAAAAAGTATCATGGGGTCGTTTGTGAGAACCACGTAAGCTTGGGTGCTGAATTTGATAACTTTAAGTCGCACATGAACTGGGCGCATCGCCTGAAAATTTCAGCTTTGCTAGTTTAAGGGTTAGCCATTTTCCCGCCAAAACATTTCACAGGCCGTGTGTGAGAACCACATATAACTGGAGGCTGGATTTGATAGATTTATGTTGTACTTATGTCGAGAACATTTCTTGAAAATTTCAGCCTCCCAGCTTTTCTGGTTCCCAAGCTAGCGATTTTCGCGCCAGGAACCCTCATGGGACTGTACGCGGGTATCACGCACACCTGGGGGCTGAATTTAAACTCTTTGAGATATATTTGGACGGAGCATGCCTTATGGTATGCTATTTGTATTTTGATTTTTTTGGTGGTAGTAACACTGTGTAACTAGAAAAACGAACAAATACGATGGACAGAGTAACTGGGCGAGGAACATCTTTTTCGTAAAAATAAGAAGAGATGAGCGAGATGCTGTTGCGGCCGAGCAAGAAAGCAGCACTCGACAGGCAAGATCATGGTATTCGTTTTACTAGCAGCCAGATAAACGTCACATACCAATGGGAGGGAAAACGAACAATACGCAATAAATATAAGGACGGCGTTTGTACATCGAAACAGATGCTGGGCACAGAACGGAGAAGCCCGGGAAAGAAGGACTTGCTGCAGTTCTGGATGCATTGAAATAACAACAGGAATAAATAATTGGTCAGCACACTGACTGTCGGTGCGAAGATGCGATTTTTGCATAGTTCTCCGCCTGCTTTTGTCGCTAACGCACCGTTTTTCCGGCAGATGCTCCTAAGAGAATTGAAACTGGTCACTCCTTGAAATTTCAGCTTTCTAGCTCTTCTAGTTCCCGAGTCAACAAATTACTCGCCAAAAATTTTCACTGGTCCGTGCGTGAGAACCACGGGCAGCTGGGAGCACAGATTAAAGTCACTAAATTCTACGTGGACTCGTAACATTCCCTTAAAATTTCAGTCTTCCGGCTTTTCAGGTCCTGAGAATTTAGCAACTTTCACGGGCTCATTCGCGGAAACCACGCATAACTGAAGGCTGGGTTGAAACTCACATGGACGGAGAACATCCCCCAAAAGTTGCAACTTTCTAGCTTTTCTGGTTCTTGAGTTAGCAGCATATCCGCCAAAAACTTTGACGGGGCCGTACGTGGGACTCACATGGGTAGGAACACCCATTTTGGCGATGGGGGTCGTACATGTATGTAGGTTAAGTTTCCAAAGTTTCAGCCCTGTAGCCCTTGTGGATCTCGAGACGAAAAAATGGCACAGAAGAATACACAGACAACCCCTCGACAATATGTATTTTAACACTGCATAAGATGCAAAAAACGCAAAAAAATTCATACTGTAAAGGCAGTCTTGGCATTTCTGCAAGATGCTACAATTATGCTCTAAAAGACGACTTCACTTACCCTTTTAGATTAAATATTCTACTGGTTTTCCTGCAACGATATGGCAAGGCACGGAGTATGAAGCAACTGGCTGGAATAATCACTCCATTTATTAGCCTATTAAAGCAATTAACTGCCCAATATAAAAACCTATTACCGGAAGGTCCGAGGGCACCGATAATAAAATTAAAAAATTGGCCAACGCACGGGCTGCCCGTGCGAAGATGCGTTTTTTGCAGAGTTCC